AAAGTCGAAAAGTAATTCGCTTCAAAAATGATTATGAAAAATCTCTGAGGAATTCAATCAGTGGCGGATCCAGGAATTTTTGAAGGGAGTGGCGGGGAAGAGAAAAATAAAGTCCAATAGGCGGAAGGGGTGGCGGTTTAGACAACAATGTAAGATATCCATGAAAAATCACTAGGAAACAACGTGAAGTTAAGTTCGAAGGGGGTGGCGGTCGCCACCCCCGCCACCCCCCTGGATCCGCCACTGAATTCAATATAATAAATTTGGATGTAAATCAAAATTGAGATCGCTAAATAAAATTCATAGTTTCATAAATCTACTTAAAGTGCATTAGCAACTTCGTAACCTGCCATTAAAAGTATGAGTCATTGGGTCTTGACATCTTACCCTTTGATGATTTTTCTTTACTTTTTTTCCCATTAGATAAAATAATAAATATCTTTTTTTAATATAGCTATATTTTTTTGTTTTGCTGAAATATATGGCATCATCAACACCACAATTTCAAACTTTAATAACAGTAAATTTTGAATATGATTAAGAACTAATTTTGATTCGTACTTGTGCAGATAGGAGAATTTCGTGAATTAATCAATAAACATTTTGAAAGTAATTAGGTTTCATTGGTTTTTTTTTTCGTATCTTAATTTGATTATGATTTTTATTTAGAACAAATTTCTGAAGGTGAAATATATGATGCTAGAGATATTGAACGTTTTAATAAAATCGATGAATATACTTTAATGTTTATACAACATGGTCAATTTGGTACAAGTTTTAATCAAGATCGAGCATTACATATATTTGATGAATCAATGAGTTGGCGAAAACAACATAATGTTTATGGTAAAAAAAATCTTTAATTACATAAAACTATCAATAAAATTTTGTTTGCAGATATCTCTACAAGTGCATTTCCAGCTGAGTATTTTGATCGAAATATAATCTATTATAAAAATTATGATAAATTTAATCATCCTATACGTAAAGATAACAGTTTTTATTTGATTTAATATTTTAATTTTTTTGATTATTAGTTCATTTTGTTATTCGCAATCTTAGGAAAGGACATGAAGATAATGAAGCAATTAAACGTTTAATAACATACAATTTTGAAAAATATATCCGAGAAAGTCCTGGCAAACATATTGTTGTACTTTTTGATATGAGTGGAGCCGGTATTGGAAATTTAGTAAGTTGAATTGCTCTACTTCGAAGTTGTCTTCGACAGACAGTTAAGACAGATTGTTACATATCGATTTGAGTCAATTAAAAATTCAGTCTACTCCTAATTTGGTTCTGTTTATTCTTTCAATTAGAATTGATGATAATAACAGTTAAAAGCAAAAATAAATAATATTTGCATCTTAGAAGATGATGATCTTCATTTTAAACTCACAATCTATTCTATAGCACACAAATCAATGAAATTATTATCTCGGTCGCCACTTGTTCGTCATGTTTTGTTTTACGACTATGGGACAAAACTACACAGAATGTGTTCAATTATTTGACTTTGTAGTACGTTGTCAAATGTGAAAGCAAGTCATGAATTGCATCATATTTTCGAAACTATATGTTTTCAACTAGAGTATATGGATGAACAAATTGAGAATTGATTGAATCTGAAAAAAAACTAAGTTGGGATCAGCTAAGGAAAGATCGCTGAATTAATAATGCTCTTTGTTTATTTTATTTTTCCTTTAATCAATTTACCATTTTTATATTCAGGATTATGATATAGTTAAATTTATTATTGCTAGTATGCAAACCTACTATCCAGGTTTATTAGGTACGGTGGTAGAAAATTCGTTTGATTTATATATATATATATATATTTTCTTTTTTGTAGCCTATCTTCTTATGTTTCAAATGCCATTTCTTTTATCAGGTAATATTTTTTAAGTATTGATGGCAAAGAAAAATTTCTTTTTTGTGTAGCGGCTTGGAAGTTAATTCGTACTTGGATGTCGAGTGAAGCTGACCGATATATAAAATTTACTGATACTAAATCAATCACGGATTACATTTCACCGGATCAATTACCAAAACATATGGGTGGTACTGCTGATGAAAGCTAATGATCTAATGCTAATAACTTTCTTTTTTTCTGTATTGAACATGACAAAATATTCCTTATTCTTTAACATATATTCAACTAAAATCAAAAAGAAAAGTACTTTGTTTTTAGTGTAAACAACAACGAGTTTACTTTTAATTATATACATGTAAATGATAAAATAGAGTAAATGTTCTATAAAGATTAAATTATTTGAATATCTTGCTTGAGTTGTGAATAGTTGTAAGGTGCCGACGATTCGAAATTGAAGCAAAATGTTTTTACCATGGTTTGATAGAGGTCGTCGATTTATCTCTGAAAATATTGATTTTAATATATTCAAATGATATTTTTCATCAAGTATACATAATTTCTTTTTCTGAATCTATGATGAATGAAATTGTAATAACTCGGATACATTTTGATAGTTAATGCTTTTGGTGTATTTTTATTTTTGATATTCTTTTGTAAGCTAATATTTCTAAGTATTACCATTAGAAAAAACATTATTAGAGGTAATTCGACGCGTGGTATTCAACCATGATAAAGGAATGGTAAACAAAATGCTACTTAACTTTCGCGTTATTGGCATTTTAAGATCAACATGATAAAATAAGTTGTGTTGTTCTTTAAAATATAAAACTCAATGATATTCGACTTTCACTCGAATTTGAAAAATGCAGTACGAAGCTTTTAATGATGATGATCGAAAAACAAATCAAATAATCGTTCATATGACTCATCATAAGTCGCTTTGGTCCTAACAACAGCATTCAAACTTTAGTAGGAGTAAACTTTTTTTCGTCGTGGTAAAATAGAAAATTTAGATTTTGAATAATTTACTGATCGAAGCCTAAAAGAATTTGGAAAGTAGTGATTGGGAAATTCATTACTTGCAAAAATCTGTTAACTTTTATCAACATCTTTTTAATAATGTCTATGAGTGATCACTTAATTCGCTCGCCTAATTAATCATCTATCAACTGTTTTGTTCACCTCTTTCATGAATAAAAGCTAAACAAGACTGATGGTTAACTTATGTTGTTTTCTTCGTTTTACTTATCTCTATATTCAACTTAGAGATCAATCAAAAGTTCGAAAGCTCGTTGTCGACAACGCCTACGCGACGTCTTCTTGCTTTGCTTGCAATAGATGTTCTACGCAACCTCTATGATGATTCTATTTGCTGCAATATTATTTACACAAGTATTATACCGAAGCCTTCTATGATGTTTAGACAATACATAATCTCTAGACATGAGATTGGCGAATCATACACTGAATAATGAGAGACCAAACACTTGTATAGAATTCATACTTCAGATATATGAAAAAATACTCAAATAAATGGCTATAAAAATCCCTGAAAAACAAAGAACTTTGATATTTTCTATTTTCGTTTTTTTCTGCGCAATTAGAATAAAACAGCACTACTAACACTCTTCCATGAAGTTCTGTTAATTGACAAAACGAAAATATGCCAACAACTGTCCATTGATGGATTATTATTAATGCTAGCTAGAATTAACCATTACTAAGATCACCATCCAGCCTCAACACTTCATTATATCAACACAATGAAAGTAAAATCCACAGATGATTTATAATATTCGCATGCTACTTTAGACGAATAAAACAGCATACCAGATATCGGATAAAATTTGTATCATATTTAGATTTCAACATCTCTAATGACGCTTCACAAAAAATCAGTTGATGTACCGTTCTCGAGATCATCACGTGACGATGTATGAACTTTGTATGTAGAATTCGACGGTGGGTGTGGATTTGGGAATATTTGTGGATGTTCTCTACTGAGGCATATCCAAACCCGCAAGCAACTTCTTTGGTCAGTATTAAATTATAATGCAGGCATTGACGATGTTGACATGAACAAATGCCTCAAATATTCACAGCAAAAGAAATGGCATACATCTATTTAGAAACAATACTGTCTATTCTTTGTTCGACCTAACTATTTTTGTTCACGAAAAGAAATAAAAGAAAATAACCCATCCTTTTTCATGTAATAATCAAATTCCACTATCGTATCTTCGTTATCACAGGTGTTCGATTTTACTTTACTGTGCTAAACTTTCTCTCAGTCTTTTGCTTTTCTCCGATTTTATCTCTAAAGCTTTCTCATATGTATATTTCCAACTTTCTATTTGATAAACAAGCCCAACGAAACAATTGAATATATTTTAGTCTACTTTTCGATCATCAGCGATTATTTATATTTTACTCGTATTCAATCGATTAAATTTATTCAGCTGATGAAAGGTGAGTTATTCTCTTGAATTGCTAAACTGATTCAAAATCATTGAAGGATCTGAGTTTGTGTATAGGTTTAGGATTTTGCTGTGCTTCCACTTAGTATCTATAATAGGCATGCATATGTGCCAGTAATTGGGTAGCTAGCTGACTGATACCTAGTGATTCAGTGAAAAGAATCAAATTTTGAGAAAAAAAATAGAGGCTTTCAATTTTCACGTATTTCTGAAATACTTTAATGGGTATCAAAAAATTACTCAAAGATCGATAAAAATGTAGAGCATTCGATATTATACCTGACGTTATATGACGCAAATTTGTGTCGGACGCAGATCAGACAAACGTTTCTCATCTTTTACATTAATGCAATATACGATGTATTTGCAACACAACTCCTGTTCAACACGATATCTCATGCTGAAATATTAAAGTAAACTTATTTCATTGATTTCTATCAGAAGCTTGACTTTCATCCAATTTGAAGAACTTCTTAGAAAAACAAACAACACTTTTCTTTAAACACAATTACATGATAGATTCAGCATAATTAACATCGGAGTTAGTAATCGAAAAATACCAAATCACACCATCGACTGTATTTCAATAAAATCTTCCTCGAACTGTTTTAGATCTGGATGATTCTGTGGCAATGCATGATGTGCAATATCTTGTGCCTTTTCCACATGATTTAATGCATCTTTGAAATGTCCAAGAGATGTTAGACAATCGGCCATATTGCTATGAATGATGGCAAGTTCAATATGATTCTTGGAAAGTGATCTCTCTTGAATAACTAAAGCTTTGCTGGAATAGGTTAGAGCCGTCTGAAAATCTCCATTTTCACCGTTAAGAACAGCAATACTGTTATATGTTCGCGCTCGATAAGGATGCACCGCAGGAAGATAATCATCTTGAATATTAGCTACCCGAAAATATCTTTGAAGTGCTTCATCACTATGATCTTGCTTCTGCAGAACAGATCCAATGCTTTGAAGTAAAGCAGCCTGCCACAAATAAATAACATGTTGTCAGTGAAAAAATAGCACGTTCAAGTTGGACACATCTGTAATGAGTAACTCTTGCGAGAAAATGTATTCTTCATACAATTAATCGAGTTTACTTTTTTTCAAATATGGCGGCTAAACCAATTTGCTACGGGTGGTGCGAACGTCGCCAATATGACTTTCGCCAACACACATCCTGAAACTTCGCCAACATGAAAGTAAATTAAAGGTGAATGAAAATTTCCTATAGCCTACCTTACTGAATTCCAGCTATGATATATGTTCTTAGTTAAAATAAACTAAATACCTAATTGTTTATTCGATTAGTTTTTTTACATCATCGTGGTTTTATCTCAAATTTATATCACAGATGCGTTGATATTACTTTATCTAGTGCTAAAGTTTCAGTTATAAATAACGAGAGATGAGGAAGAAAACTACAACTGCATCTCATGTACTCTGGTGTGGTTGAAATAAAAAAATTAGCTATCCCACTTGTTTGAACGATATTCTAAAGCCGATATCCATTCTTTAGTGATCCACTGTCACGTAATAAGTACGAAATTATAACTATGATATAATAAACCAGATCCGAATATTGAAATAGTTGGGTTCTAGTTGAAGTCTTCGGAAAGGAAATTGCTTTCCTCTAGAAAATCCAAATTTATTCGATCAATTTCAACTGTCTTGAAATAGTCTCAAATAGCGTAATTCAGTGTCCTGAGTCTCATTCGGATACTAGATTTCAGCTTTAAAGTAATTCGAGCTTATGAAATTCAAAACCAAATATCAGGCTTTCTGTTTGTACAAGCCAATATTTTGAGAATCTATCCATTTGTAACTTAAATTCCAATAAAACTGAAATCTGGTGTCGGAATGAGATTCAGTGCACTGAATTATGCCATTTGAGACTATTTCAAGATAGTCGAAATTTATCTGGAAAATTTTGATTTTCAAACGGATAGCAATTTGCTTTCCAAAAACTTTATCTAGAACCCAACTATTTCAATAATGAGATCTGGTTCATTATATCATAGCTATAACTGCGTGCTCATTACGTGACAGTGAATCACTAAAGAATGGATATCGGTGTTAGAATGTCGTTCAAAAAAGTACGATGACTAATTTTTTTAATTTCAACCACACCAGACTACATGGGATGCAGTTGTAGTTTTCTTTCTAATCTCTCGTTAGTTATTACTGAAATTTTAGCACTAGATAAAGTAATACACAACGCATCTACGACATAAATTTGAAACAAAGCCACAATAGTGTAATAAATTAATCGAAAAAAAAATTAGGTGTTTAGTTTATTTTAGCCAGGGGGTATATACTTTCTATCGGCATTGGCTTCAATCCTCACATATTTCCAACATGAATATTGCTTCAGGACAGCTGACGAAATTCCAGAACTCCTTTGTTACAGCCATCAAAGCTGTCGAAAATCAAAGGTTAACTGACTGGATATGATGATATGAAATTCCGTTTTTAAACAGATAATTAGTGAGAACTTTCTGCGTGTTTCTGACTGTTCTGTTTGTTAGCTATGTATATGTACATACAAGCTGCTCTTTATCTGGTTGATTACTATTTTCTACGATATTGAGTGCTCGATCATACTGTTGGAGTGCTTGATCGAGAGCTCCTTTGTAATGCAACACTAAAGCAATATTCGAATACACACTGGCCAAACCTGGACCATCTTCAGACATACGAGTCAAATCCAAAGAAAGCACTTGCTCAAGGTTCCAGTGCACCATTCAGATCTCCCATTTGACGAGCAATGTAACCCAATTGGTGATGTAAGAAAACTATACTAATGGAATCATTACTATCAGATTCTGACAGAAGACTTTCATAGATGTCTTTCGCTGTACTCCATTCACTCATTCGAATCATCAATTGAGCCAATCTTTTTTCTCCGCTCGTACCTGTAATGTCTTGACGCATGTAATCGATCAATTTTTTTAATTGCGGATCATCATTGGATGTGACACGTGGGTTCACTTCCTAAACACCATTATTCATTTGTTGAATTGAATCGATACGAAATATGGTATTCATCCTCCAAAGATATTCACGTTCTTCAGTAAAATTCGTATGAGTTTCATTGAGAGAAACCATTGGGCTTGAGGTGGTTATCGATGGATCGACATCAATAATATAAAGCACTGCTATTAAATTGGGATCGTCCAGTGAAGGTATAGAAAAGCCAAGACCTACAGTTTTATCTGCAATAGTCGAAAGAAAACAATTAAATGAAATCAGACCACCAACGTTGTGCATCAACTACTCGAAATCTCGAGGTGACATTCTACAATGACAAGTAACTAATTACTACCATGCTGTGGTTGATGACACTCTTGAAGTTTAAGATAGAGATCTTTCATGAAAAAAACGAACTTATTTATTGTTGTGACGTCATGCATACGAAGACATTTATTTAATATACGATAAACAAAAGCATCACGTGTGTGCCATCTGATTGCCGTCACCTTGATATATTCACGTGAAAATTTATCGATAAGATGTAACCCATGTCGGTCGCCATTGTATTTTCGTTGACAACATTCTACGAATTTTTGTTTTAGCTTTCTTGTGGTCATGATTCGTTTCAAGAAATATTTCTTTTAACAACTGGCAAAACATGAACATAAAAATCTAGCTTGTCTTGTTCTGTTGTTAATTGTGAATGAGACACAAGAAGGATGTTTATTACTTGAAGATTATTATCAATAAATTTTAGATTTTTCTTAAGTGCATTGCTCATCATGAATGGATCGGTGTAGATACCTAGGATTTTGAAATAGTTTTCGATGAATGATGCATGATCCTTGTTTCTATTTGTGTCATGTGAAAGAACATAAATTGAATGTAGCATCGATACATTGTGTACAAATGAAACAACTGTTTTGATCAAAGCCTCTGATATAATCAAGAGAACTTTTTCATTGGTTATTTGAGTAAGAAAATCAAAACATTCGTCTATACTATTGAACAATTCAATAGAATGATCTAGACATTGCGCCAATTCATCAGCTAGTAGTGTTTGTTCAGTTTCAGCCAGTTGGTCAACGAGTCAAATAAGAATAGAATTATTTACATGGCGATATGGTCGTACTCTATTGTCCGAACAATTAGTCTTTATGTTTTCTTTCGACGTCATCTTTGCAAATGTTAATCTGTCTCGCTAACAAGTGTCGCGAAAGATAACTGAGTTGATGTTTTTCATCGCTGTCGGATGAGTTACAAACAACCAAAGATAAGCAAGATCTTCAACATTATTCTTCATTCAATTAAGTGACCTTGCTGCTGTTGACACAAGTTTTTTTTCCAACATAGAGGTTATTCTTAGCTTTAAATGCAGAATGAGAAAAAGTTTCGTTGACAACCAGGGTGTGGGTGTGGGTTGTGTGGGTGGATATGAGTGCCTTCTTTTTTAATACAGCGACACCCACAGCCTCATCATATTCATTTTTCTCGTATTTTCCCCCCTAAGAGAACAGATATGTCGTGGATATAGATCTATCTAGCATTTTCATCAGAAACATATGTACAATAGCTCAGGTCAATTTGATTGAATTAGAATTCAGCTAATCCAAAATAATCTGCTATCGTTCGTCATAGCAAACACTTTTATTTCAGTTGAATTTATTTCCAGTATAACTTCTGAGTAAAAGTAAATCTCAACATTCAACTCATGAGATAAATTCTTTCACAACTGTACTGTAACGATATAATGGCCAACATTTTAAATTGATTGGCGTAAATGGTTTCTTTCGTCCTTTAACTTCACCTTTTTCTTGGCTTTTTCCTTTCTTTTTCGTATTTTTGTCCCTTGTTGTTTGTACTGCGTCATTATTTATATCTCGTAATTTCTCCATCGTTGCGAACTATCAAGAAGCTGATTCATTGTCACGAGACTCACAGTATAAAAGCAACTACTTTTTTAATGTTATTTCATTCAGCTTGCACTAAACATATAGTTATTTCTTCTCTTCTATCACTTGCTATTAAACAATAACAATGCAAATCTTTGTAAAAACTCTTACTGGCAAAACTATTACACTCGAAGTCGAACCAAGCGATACCATTGAAAATGTTAAAGCAAAAATTCAAGACAAAGAAGGTATTCCACCTGATCAACAACGCCTCATCTTTGCTGGTAAACAACTCGAAGATGGTCGCACATTGAGCGATTATAATATTCAAAAAGAAAGTACTCTTCACCTTGTACTTCGCTTACGTGGTGGTATGCAAATATTCGTAAAAACACTCACCGGCAAGACAATTACACTCGAAGTCGAACCAAGCGATACCATTGAAAATGTTAAAGCAAAAATCCAAGACAAAGAAGGTATTCCACCTGATCAACAACGACTTATTTTCGCCGGCAAACAACTCGAAGACGGTCGAACACTTAGCGACTACAATATTCAAAAAGAAAGTACACTCCATCTAGTACTTCGATTACGTGGTGGAATGCAAATTTTTGTGAAAACTCTCACCGGTAAAACAATTACACTTGAAGTCGAACCAAGTGACACAATCGAAAATGTTAAAGCAAAAATCCAAGATAAAGAAGGTATTCCACCTGATCAACAACGCCTTATCTTTGCCGGCAAACAACTTGAAGATGGTCGAACATTAAGTGATTACAACATCCAAAAAGAAAGTACACTCCATCTTGTTCTTCGATTACGTGGTGGTGATCATCAATAAAAAAAACCGCTCTACATTATAGCACTGAACGCAATTAACTTTTGTTCTTTTTCTGTTGTTTCCATTATTTTGTGCTATTCATAATATTGTTATAGGTGCATGAATTCTTTTATATATTCCTCATTTATAGTCAGTACATGATTGATGTTATATTATCGATAAGGAAATAAATAAAACAAGTGAGAATTGATAGTTATAAATTTAAATTAGGAATGAAAGAAACTAAGATTTTTTTAATTTTTTGAAGTATCTGGTACAAAAAATGTAGAAAAAGGTCATAGCAATTACATGATATACTCCGAAAAATGTTAGCCTTGAGAAATACCATAGATAAGCATGTCAATTCTTGTTAGACATTTGTTATTTTATAGTAATGAAAATAGATCCAATTGCTAACAGTTTTACCAACGTATTATGAAAATTAGTGTTGTGTTTTAGTATTGTCAAAAACATAGAAAAAAACAACTTGAAGTTTTATAGATACATATATCTTTTTATTGAAGATAATTTGTTTTCATGGTATTAAAATGAAATTTTTGACTAAAATAAATGTGCTCTTTTTTCCATCAATTTAAATTGTTTTGTTTTTATTAATGTATCTTCTTTCTTTTAAGTATTTTTATAATATTAGCTGAATTTTAGTAATCTTACTATTGGTTTTTAAATACGATATTAATTTTTTTGTCAAATCGGAAGATTTTCAGAGATTTATTTCATTTCTCATCAGATTCATTCTATGATATTATATCTTCTAATGTCATTATGAAATCAACGGAAAACAAATGTAACTGCGGCTATCAGATATATTTATGTAGATTAGAGTAAAGTGTATGGTTATCGTTCATCATAAACAGTCAACATAGAGAAAACATAGTGAGATAAGGAATATGTATTACTTGTAGGACTAAAATCATGATTGACTACATCTTACATGTATTATTTATTTATCAAGGTCATATTTCAATTGTGAGTTTCTACTGTATTTGTTATTTGGTGAAACTCACATATATTTTCGAAGAAAATAGTGAGTGTAAGTTTTAAGGTCAAGTTTTCGCGGCTTCCATTCCCCCTCCCTTTACAGACAGGCCCCCATTACAGACCATACCAATCCAGAATAAGCTTTTTTGGAAAATTGATCAAGTTAGAATTTTGAAAAATAATGAATATCATTATTTGCGACTTGATTAATATAGATGATAGTGCGTAAGATCTACGGTAGGTATCATAGATATGTAAAAGACACTTATTTGCCAATCAATTTAACGATTATAATAATAAGAATGATAAATTGAGAAAAACGAAAAATAATGAGCGAATAGCAACCATGAATATGAAAAATTGGGCGCCCGTAGAAAAAAAATAAAAAAATTTGTTTGAAATGCAGAAATTGGAGAACTTTTTACTTCAGTGATTAATTATCCTGGAAAACAATTATAGTTTACGAGAGATTTTTCATTTTACATTTTTGTATTAGTTTGATAAGGCTAGAGAGCATATGTGAGTTCCACATTTCAGTCGCGAAGAGGCTGCGCTAACAAGCTTTTATTCAACACCCTCCGGTCAAATAACAATACTCAAGAAAATTTTCGAACAATAATTGAAACATAACAATTCGAATAGACAGAACAAAAAATGATTGTCATCTTCCATATTACTCAATGGATCATTTGTTGTTGATGATGATGTTTGAATGACAGCTAAAAAAAAAGACACAAAATATAATATTAAATATGTTTGATAATGCAATTTGAAGATGCTAATATAGGAATCATAGAGAAGCCATAAGTCACACCAAAGCAAAATATATTAAAGAAAAGCAAATAAATGCCGAATATTTCGATAGAGTCAAGGAAAATTTATTGAAACACATATCCAAAATTCAAATTTTAAATTTAAATATTCCAAATAATTTTGAAAATACATTAGAGAAAAATAAAGAATATAATCAATTAATAAATAGATCCAAGCTGATTTATCCAAATTATCGAGAAAATTATAAAAACGACGTCATGCCAAAATTATTGTATTGGAAGCGATTATTTCATATAAAACATAATTAATTAAATGGATTTTTCGTTTTTTTTTTATCTTAAAAGAACAATAAGATTTATTTTGTATCCAAAGAAAAAACTTAACCTGTATTGTCAGAAGTAGACAACCGAAATGTATACAAAATTCGATAGAATCATGACTAACAAGAAATGATGCATAAACAAGATCCGACAAATGACCAGTAAATGCAATCAATGCAAAGAGATCTGTCAACGAAAGAACTAATTCAAAGTACCATTTCCGAGGAATGTATTAATTCCATCCTATCCATAACATTCCCATTGAACAACGTAAACTGATGCTAATAAAAGGATGTGACATTTTAAGAGAATAATTGTAACAATATGATATTGTCTTCTAAGGAAATTGTAGAAGAAATCTTGCTCGAGATAGAAAATTAGGAGAAGAATTTGAGCAATCATATATAGAATAAGTAAGGAATACAATGGATAATCATGTAATCTTCTTTCGTTATTTTATTGAAATGTAATGTCAATGGATATCCATTAACTCTGTTCAATAGAATTCAGACGAGATTCCATACATAGTCCCAGAAGAATGTAATTGTTGAAAGGAGAATTAAACCAACAATAATTGGTTCTACAACGAATAAAATTCTACGACGACGTTTGTTGCCTTCTGTTTGAATAGAAAGTTCATTAAGAATAGTTTCACATATACTTTCTTCATCTTCTATTAGATAATAAACTTTAGAAATGACAGATAATCGATGTTGATTGATGTTCTCGTCAGGTTCTTCAATTCGACTTAAAACATGTTGTCTTTGAAAATCAGCACCGACCGGTGGAATTCGCTCTTGACTGTGGTATTCATCATTATATGGCAAACAGATCTGAGAAATAGTCGGGAATCGATACTGGAAATTGACCGATGTTCTCAAACGATGCACTGATTGATATTCATCGTCAATCTGAAAGATGGACAACACCATAGATTGTTGACGAGCATTTATTGATTGTTATTGTTGATTGTTTTGATTCATTTTTCTTCAGTCTATTTCAAAACCATTTTACATTCTTTGAACTCTAATAAGATACTTCTTATCAACCATGTTTTATCTCTTTCGCCTAAAAGCACACATCGTGTCTCTTGTCGTTTGTATCATCCTGTTTCTTGCCATTACTGGTAGTGGCGAGAAGAAAACTTTCGATTATTTTTTTCTCTATCTTTATTACCCCACTATTCGATATCAAACAAATCTGAATAGCTTCGAATCGATAGCATCTGAAATATTTCCAGCCATTTAGTACTCCAAATGATGTCACTGTCGATATTCTTCGATGTCTGTAGAAAAAGCAACATGTGAACTATTGCAATACGATGCCGATAGTTTAAACCAATGTACGATGATCAGAGATGTCATAATACCCAAAGACTGAGTAACGACATCCAACTGATCAAGATATCCATAGGAGTAACAACGTCATTGCTCTAATCTCTTCTCATATCTTATTACTATTTACATGCGGTACATTTGGTACAATGGGGTAATACCCAAAAACTTTTTTGTGTACCCGCTAAAAACTTGGGGATTTTGAGTGCATTTGGTGTAACGTTTCATGGATGCAATCTCTTGTTGTCATATCGAGATGGGACAATGGAATCTCGATACTGGAGTAACGAGTATTATGACATCCCTTTGATATAGTGCGTATTAGTGATAATGATAGAGTCGCAACAATGTTATTATTAGCCAGTTTTACTTTCGTTTTTCTATAAACTATTTTTCTATGTAAAAGAATCAGTACTTTATCTTTTTTTATGATACTATTGATTATATGGGATGTTTATTTGATTATAAAGCTTGTAGACGTGAACACTACTATCTGTTACCACCAGACACTTTTGATTTTGTCTATGAATTTGTGAACATGTATCCACGTAACTTTATACAAAAATCGGTGAAAAACTGATAACAGTTTTCCATATTTCTCGCCACAAATAAAAATCTAAATTATGTTGACTTGGTTTTGACTGTTTGGGACATTATTGTGTTGAAACACATCTGTCTCCCGCGTCCAGAAATATCATATCCCTCCTGCTTTGATATCTTTGTGTCGCCAATGAGTGTGTACAAATATTTCTGAAAAATCTGCGTAAATAACACGAACATGTTCGTGTTAGCTTGTAGCTGCAGTTTTTCAATTAAAGGCTACTGATATTATCCACTGAACATTTACTAATGTAGAGAAAACTTAACCTCTCGCGTAAATGCACCCTCTGCTATATAGAGCTCGGTACGCCTCTGCAGTTTTGACTTGTACAATAAACAAAACTATCTTTGGGAAAACTTATAAGTACATGAGTGACCCATGGGTGGCCTATAGGCCGGCTCGGCCCATTCGGAGGTCTGATGCAAAAAAAAGTCTGATTTTATTTCAATAAAATTCTTACACTTTTGAACTGCAACACATATTTACCAAGACTGAAATGCGGTCGGACTGCATGCTCATAAAATGTATAAAATGTTAAGTTTTCATCATTCATATTTGTCAATATTCAATTGAACAGAAGAGTTTGCTGTTCTGCATAACAATGTAAATCTTGTTTCATGAACTGATTACATACTGTTAACTTTGTTACAAATCCAGTAGAATAGAAATAAAGACTATCTGAAATATGAAAAATTTTAAATATATTTTCATAAATGAATTAAATGAAAAAATCTCAATATGATTTAAGCTTCTACTATTTTTATATGAGAAGGATCAGGATCTTTCGTTGTCAATTCAAAATAGTAAGTCTATCCTAGTCCAATTCTGTATCAACTTTTTCTTTACGAAAAGAAAAGGTGTTTTTATTTATTTTTTCTTTCTTTTAATTTTGATGATAAAATTAAAATAAAATGGAATACAGAATGCAATCAAATTTCAATGACTTATAGAAAAATCACTGATAATCTGAACAATATCACTCGAATAAATCAATATAAAAAAATATGAAAGATATTAAAGAAAATTATCTATTCTAATATTACTTCGAAAAATCCTTTTCTTTAGTTTTTTAAAACTATATTTGAGCAAAATAATAATTATAGAGGCCATCGCTCTGCAGTATCTTATGATGTAAAAATGAACTAATGATACCTTTAACTATGATCTTGATTAGGCATACCAGTTTTATATGAGAGCTAAATCTTTCAAATTACCTTTTTCTTTACACTTGAGGGTGTGGCTGTGGGTGTGGAGTGTGCGTTCGGGTGTGACTGTAGTTGGGATGTGCGTGCACCTCTTTCCTTTACAGAAACCTACACATCCACACTCACGCCCTCTTTACTTTTGATCAAATCGAATTTCATTTTGTTTTACGAATATTGATATATTATTATCAGTTATATTTACTAAATGTACTTGACTAGCATCGCCACTTAATAAACATTGATTACTTGCATTTCTACAATATTCTTCTAATTATATACAACAAAAAACAATAATGATAATTTAAATAAACCTGATAATATTGTTTAGACCTGTTCGTTTCATAGTTTCACCTGCTGGACGATACTCTGGCATATGTAATGCTTTAACTGTATGTTTTTTATCATATATATCCATTGAAAGTTCAGGCGAATATGAATAAATATTATCCGGATTAAGAAATTGGCGCCTAAAATTATTACGAATTTTTGGAATTATAAAATCATGTGGTAAACGTGATAATTCAATCATTTGAGGACGATCAGAAAAACGTCCAAATATATGTAAATGTCATGGGAATTTTTGTTGAATTTCAGCACTAGCTTCACGTGTTTTTAACAAAACAACAAAAGATTATAAGAATTACATTTGATACAAGTTTTAATTACAATGAAGTGTTCGAAAAAATTTTAGACAAGATGTTTGTTTACTTTTGAACAAGTCGAAAGTATTTCCGACGAGTAAGAAGCTATGAGTTAGGATACTCTTTTTGAATATATTAGTTGTAGAAATTTTGTTGGGGTGTGGGTGTGGGTGTCTGGGTGTGGGGTGTGGGTATGGGTGTTGGGGTGTGGGTGTGGATGTCTGGGTGTGGGGATGTGGTGTGGGTGTGTGGTTGTGTCTGCGTGCTTAGGCTTTTGAGTTACATCCACACCCACACCCTACCTGCACGCACACACACTCACATCCACACCCACACCCACACCCACACACCCACACCCTCACCCTACCCACACCCACACCCTACCTGCACGCACACACACTCACATCCACACCCACACCCACACCCACACACCCACACCCTCACCCTACCC